ACTCAACATTTGAAAAGGGGCTCACTCCCGCTGATCCCCTAGAGGAAATGCTGGAAGAGGCTATTGCTCTTCCGGCTGAGCTCGTCCCGCAAAGACGAGAAGGAGTGAATCCTCTTCTTCAACTTTGGATTAGTAGTACAGGAAAGAGAGATCGAAGCTATGAAAACCTCTCCGGATTCTTAAGGAATCTAGATCTATGGATCATAGCATACGCAAAATTAAGCGCAAATCCTGGATCGATGACAGCTGGGCTCGACAAGCAAACCATAGATGGCACATCTATCAAAAAGATAGTTGCTCTCAAAGATGCAGTGCTAAACGGGAGCTTCGAATGGGGAGGCACCAAACGGGTATACATTCCAAAACCAGGAAAGACCGAGAAGCGATCGCTAGGTGTCCCCTGCTTCCAAGACAGAATTGTACAAGAAGTTTTACGCATGTTGTTGGAGCCCATCTTTGAGAGCTGCTTCTCTGCGCGCTCGCATGGCTTCAGGCCTGGACGAAGCACGCATACAGCACTTCGTACAATAAAGAGAGACATGAAAGCGGCTATGTGGTTTATCGAAGGAGACATTAGTAAGTTTTTCGATCGAGTGAACCATACCATCCTATGCTCGCTCATTCAAAAAAAGGTACGAGACAAGAAGGTGCTAAAACTCATCCGCACGGGGTTAAACGCAAAGATCCATATGCCCAACGGTTTAGAAATCGCAAGTGATATGGGAACCCCACAAGGTGGAGTACTAAGCCCCCTATTGTCCAATATTTACTTGAACGAGCTCGACAAATGGATGGAAGAGCAAATCCTTTTGTACTTTTCAGGAAAAAGGCCAAAGATAAACTCAATATGGCTTAAACTGCGAAAAAAGGGTCTCATGAAGAAAGCCCGGCAACACCCAGCAAGCGACCCACTCGACCCAAATTATAGAAGAATGGAATACATCCGCTATGCAGACGACTTCCTAATCGCTATAAGGGGATCTCACGAAGATGCTGTTCGAATCAAACACGAATCCGCTGTCTTTTTACAAGCACGGTTAAAACTCGAATTGAACCTCGAAAAGACTCATATCACACACATCTCAAGAAGGGTGGGATTCCTTGGGCACATCATCTCCAAAAGACAAGTTTATACATACCAGCGCTATGGAATCAACAAGCAGTACAAAAAGAGACGTATGATGATCTTTACATTGGACGCAGATATGAAGAAACAAAAAACGAAACTCCTTGCCCAGAAGTACATAAACGGCGAGGGAGAGCCTCTTCCCTGCTTTGGACTTCTCCGTCTGCCCCAGAGTGAGGCAAATATGCGGATCAACTCAGTGCTGAGAGGATTATCAAACTGGTTTGAATATGCTGGCAACCGTAGACGAGTGCTTGCTTGGATTGCGTACGTTCTTCGATCCTCCTTAGCCAAGATGTACGCAGCAAAATACAAGCTGCGCACAGTGGCACAAGTGTTTCAAAAAGGGCGAGGCGATCTTAGCAAACCCCTAAAAGCGCGAGAAGGGCTCTCTCACGTAGGTGTGACTGACGAACAAATAATCAAATGGGAAGGGTCAGTCACTGGGAGAGGGACTCCTAGGAAGATCCCCGGAATTCTCTTCGAAAAATATTTGAAGATCCCAAAGCCAAATAAAAGCCCTTTAGCGAAAGGGTGGCAGCCAAAGCATGAAAAGATTTTAGAAAGTATTTACGATAAAAAAACGGGGCAAATTCTAGAAAAGGAAAGGCAGAAGCTTATTGAGTTTGTAAACACGAGAGCCCGCTCATCGTCCAAAGACCCAATGGAGCGACTGGCCTGGCGTCTTAGCAAAGGGGTTAGCGCTCTCTACGCAGCATGCGTGCTATGTGGATCTGATCAAGATGTAGAGATGCACCATGTTCGTGCATTGAAAGATCTAAAAAAACAGAAGAAGAGCGCGCTTGAAATCCACATGATATCAATTGCTAGAAAGCAGCTACCCTTATGCCGAAGATGTCACCTGAGAGCCCATAAAGGCAACTGGAGATCAACACCAGAGCCTTTTCCTGCGTCGAATATACTACAATCCGAAGAAAGTTGAGTTAGAGAGCCGTGTGATGGGTGACTATCTCGCACGGTTCGGAGGGAGCTCGAGTATGGGAAACAACCCAAAAAGTTGTTAGCAGAAAGTTCTACCCTATTTATTGTATGGGCTCATCACATGTTTGTTGTTGGCCTAGACGTAGATACACGAGCCTACTTTACAGCAGCAACCATGATCATTGCCGTTCCGACCGGAATAAAAATCTTCAGCTGGATTGCAACAATGTGGGGGGGCTCTATTCAATTGAAAACCCCTATGCTTTTTGCGGTAGGCTTTATTTTCTTATTTACGGTAGGAGGATTGACTGGTATTGTGTTAGCCAATTCAGGGCTTGACATTGCTCTGCACGATAAACAAAAAAACGATTCTATAACAAAATTTTGGGTTGGATTGATGGATGGTGATGGGAGTATTCAGGTCAATCACTGGAAAAAGCGCAGCCTCCAATATAGGCTTGTTATCAAGTTGAAGAATACTCAAGCAAATCGGGATATGCTTGTAAAAATCAAGAGCATAGTTGGTGGTTCAGTTCCTTGTAGCAAATCTTTTGTTCTTTGGACTGAAAATGATAAAAGAAAGATTCAGCGTATAATCTCTATCTTTGATAAGTTTCCGCCTTTAACGACTAGGCTAAAATGCCAGTTAACTTTTTTAAAAACTTGCTTAAAGCGCAATGATGTTCAATGGTATTTGGAAAATCGAAGTCAAAAATATGCTACAGTGGCTAACAATCAAAGCATTGAACGCCAAGCCCCCGCTCCCACCTTCATGCATGGTATGCTTCTCAATCATATTGGTGATTCCAACAGCGTGGAACCTTTCACCTATTTCCCTGCATGGTTATCTGGTTTTATTGAAGCTGAGGGTTGTTTTTGCATTCGCCAAAGCAATAATCATTCTTTTTCTATTGGCCAAAATCAAGATATGCAGCTAATCGAAAGAATAAGAACGTACTTTAATGCTAGCAATAAAGTGCGAGCAATCCCAGGGCGTGCTGAGAATTTTTATCTGTTAGAGATCTATAACAAAAGGTGTATCGATTTGATCATCTCTCATATTCAAAAATATCCTTTGCTTGGAGAAAAACATCAATCTTATCTCAAATTTTGTTACAAAATCTTATAAGTGTCGTGTTGTCTTGCCACTATGGAATTTGAAAAGGCTTCGCTGGGACGGCATCAGACCGTAAGAGTCACTGTAAGACGTTCGCTCCTTCCTTCAAACAATCAATCAATTGTTTTAGGAGGGTTAACGTAGAACGCAAAAAAAAACACGAGTTTTTTGCTGGCTTTCAATGATTATCCCATGACCTTTTCTACCTTTTATTATTCCGGTAGCATAAAACCTATCCCCGGAGGGAATAGGCTCTTCGCTAGCGGGGCTCGCGCTCCCCGCTTCGCTCCACACTTTTAGAAAGTGTGGCTTTTCGCTCCAATCCCCTACGGAGAGTGGTTCTTCGTTCCTATGCTGCTAACGGTGAAATCTTATTCTTGCCAATGAGCAATGGCATTGCAAGTAGCTCTCAAGGAAGAGAGAATATATTGAACTCTTTCACGCAACCGCGCAAAAGAAAGGCAGAGCGTCAATTTTTTAAAAAAGACAGAACGCAGTGAAGAACTCAATCCCCTACGGAAAAAGGCTCTTAGTGAGGTTAGCACCTTCCATTTCATTGGTTCATTTCTTTTTTCTCCCTTCCTACCACAACGAGGAATAAGACAATACCGTGGAAACCAAAGCTGTACGTATAAAAAAAACAATCAAAAAATAGAACAAAAGGGTTGCAAACAAAAGTGGCTGTGCTCAAAAAAAGCATATTCTTTTCGTAAAAAAAAGCAAAAACCTAGTAAAAAACGAACGCAGTCACTCTTAAAAAGAGTGGAATGAAATCACTCCCCCCCGGGAGTGGAACGCAGTGGGAGGCTAACGTATGTCAAATGAAATAAAAACCATTGTTTTTTGAACAAGACATTGCAAAGACTTGTCTCTCTCACTTCGTTCCACTCCCGGGGAGGAAGTGATTTCATTCAAAAAAATCTCTTTTTTGATTTCATTCCACTCCCGGGGAGGGAGTGATTTCATTCCACTCCCGGGGAGGGAGTGATTTCATTCAAAAAAATCTTTTTTTTTATTTCATTCCACTCCCGGGGAGGGAGTGATTTCATTCCACTCCTTTTAAAATACCTTCGTCTCCCCCTAGTAATCTTTTTTTGACTTTCTTTTTTCTTGTACGTATTGTTAGTAGGATCTGTGGAGGCTCTACGTGGCAGTCAAAAATCTCTTGAGTGAGATGAGTCGATAAGATAGAGCCCGATCCTCGCTGTAAAGCGAGTTTGAAACAAGACTTACTATGTTGTGGCGCACTTTCACTATGTTCTTTCAATGGGAGCTGTATTTGCTTTGTTTGCAGGATTTTACTACTGGATTGGAAAGATTTCAGGCTTGCAATATCCGGAAACCCTAGGACAAATTCACTTTTGGATAACGTTCATTGGGGTCAATTTGACATTCTTCCCTATGCACTTTCTTGGTCTAGCTGGCATGCCTCGCCGAATTCCAGACTATGCCGATGCTTTCGCAGGATGGAATGCACTGTGTAGCTTTGGTTCTTATGTTTCAATCGCAGGAATGTTTGTATTCTTTTATGCCGTTTACGTTACATTGACCAGTGATCAAAAATGTGGTGCATCTCCTTGGCTGTCAGAGCGCATTTCAACCACTTTAGAGTGGATGATGCCAAGCCCTCCAGCTTTCCATACTTATGTAGAAATCCCTACAATTAAAGAAACTGCTCCAACAACTGAAATGAGCGCAAATCAAGCAATAAAAGACTAATCAAATAGTTAAAGCAATGTTGAGGCTAGGTTTTTTGATTTTAACAAAGTACGCTTTGCCCCTTTCTAAAACAACTTTTTGAATTTTCACACAAATGCGGGCATATATTAATGGTAAATGATCTGCCTTCCAAGCAGAAGATATGGGTTCGATTCCCGTTGCCCGCTTATGTCTTAAGAAGAGCGCAAGCTTAAGTGCTAGTATAAGCAACGGCCTCTTTTCTCAAAAAAACCTTTTTTTTTCAGCCTAGCCAGGGGTACCAAACGATAGTACTATTAAGAGATTCGTATCTCCTATTTCATACTTTCCACACTTTTTTCCAATTCGCTACGGGAAGCAAAGAGCCACTCCCCGAAAGGGATTGGAGCGAAGAAAAAGAAAAGATTTTACTCGTCTGGACAGTGCTTGCGCTATTCAATAAAAAGGGGAGAATGGCTGAGCGGCTAAAGGCGATAGACTGTAAATCTATTGAAGTGATTCTACAGGGGTTCGAATCCCTTTTCTCCCAAAGCAAAGGCCAATGTTCTCTTTTATAACTCTTTTAAAGTGTTTTACTTATCATTATCGCTTTTGTTCAAATCGGTTCAAAACTGAAAGAAAATTAGCATACTCTTTTTTTTGCATTCTTAGCTCAGATGGATAGAGCGATAACCTTCTAAGTTAGTTGTCACAGGTTCGAGCCCTGTAGAGTGCAAGCACTCAAATCTTACTCACAATGCGGGGTGTAGCGCAGCCTGGTAGCGCGTCTGTTTTGGGAACAGAATGTCATAGGTTCAAATCCTGTCACCCTGAGTGAATACTTAAGGAATAACAAGCGAGTACGTCGAGTGTTAGTATGCGGGGAGGATTCAAAAAATGCAGTGTGTGCTAGTAGCCCGTCCAATACAATCAAAAAAATAGCTTTTGAGAGACCAGAATCAAGACTTTTTGCTAAAAAGGAGTGAAGAGCCATTCAAATGAAATCACTGATGGGGGGCTATTGCCCCCTGCCCCGCTCCACTCCCCGAAGAGGATTGGAGTAAAGCAAAAAAAAGACTTTCCATCCTTTTGCGCTTTAGTAACCTTCTCTATTCATAAGGGTTCTCGATAGGGGAGAGTACCATTGCCCACTTTTATTCTTTGCAGTTTTTTTTGTGGTAGGCCCTTTTTTTTTGATTTATTAATAAGCTAATGAGAATCAATCGACCATTATCACCTCATTTAACCGTTTACAGACCACAACTAACCTCAGTACTTTCTATTTTTCATAGAATTTCGGGTGTAGTTTTGGCAACTACAGCTATTGGTGGAATTTTTGCTTTAAAACTGAGCGCGACTCATTTCAATACTTACCCTGTTTATTGGTTTGCTTTTCTTTTGTGTTCTAAATTGGATTGGCTTGTTTTTGCTGCATTAATACTTGCTTTTTTTGCGCTCTGCTATCATATGAGTAACGGGATTCGCCATCTTTTGTGGGATATGGGGCTGTTTCTAGACCTAAACAAGATTTATACCTCTGCTTTTATTATGTTAGCGTGTTCTGCAAGCCTAGCAGCCATTAACTTCCTTCGATTTTATGCATCATAAACCTTATTGCTATTATGACAAGAATCAATAAAGAACCTCTAACACATTGGCTTCTTCAAAGAAGTACTGCCATCTTATTAATACCAACCTTTCTTTCAGCTACCCCAAGTAGCTTGATTGTTCTGAATATTGCAATGTTCTGGCACGCACACATAGGAATTTCTGAAATTTTAGCAGACTATGTACATAATTCAGTGACACGTGTTTTTGTCGGCACCTTAATACAGGTCGTAATTTTAATTGCAATGAAAGATTTTTTTATTCTTTTATTGTTGCCTTGAGTGCTTTTTTAGTGGGGCTATCGACCCCTGCTCAGCTGAAAAAAGAGAACGAGCTGTTACTCCAATCTTCTATGGGGTAGGCTTTACGCTTCCCGTTTCAACCGTACTTTTGATCTTTGCCAATTGGCAGACTGATCACGACTCCGTCCCACTCTTCTCGTACGGCACTTCGCTTTGAAATGTATTAAAAAAAGGAGTAAAAAGATGACTGTTTTGTTTTCTTTATTAAAAAGACAAACAATTCTTGCATTAGAGAGAGTTAATGCACCTGAAAATTTCAGTTGCTTTTACTGAAAAAAAAAGTGATAAAGAAACAAACGAATAGGTCGTCGCCAATTTCTTTTGAAAAAAAGCGCTGTCTTTAGCAACACAATTGCAACTTCGTTGACTCTAATAGCCATAGCAGGCATTTTCGCTTAAAGAGCGACCGACTTGCCCTCTCCCCCCCCTCTTTTTTCTTCTATTCACCATACCAAACGAACCAATTTCAACAGGGAGGGCTCGAGAATAACAATGCAAATGATTCAAGGCTTAAAAGCAACGCATCGGCTTTGCATTTTTGAAACAATTCATTCAAATTCAAAAAATGATTCAAGAAGTAAAATATTTAACCGTTTCTATGATTTTGTTCCTTTTAGGCATATGGGGCATCTTTTTAAATCGAAAAAACATTATAATTATGTTAATGTCAATTGAGCTTATGCTCCTTGCGGTCAATCTAAACTTATTAGTGTTTTCTGTGTGCTTAGACGATATGATGGGTCAAATTTTTGCTCTTCTGGTTTTAACAGTCGCAGCGGCAGAGTCTGCAATCGGCCTAGCAATTCTTGTTGTTTACTACAGAATTCGAGGCACAATTGCGGTTGAATTTATTCATTTAATGAAAGGGTAAGCACTTGGTCACACCATTTGAACAACAAAACGAAGAGAGAGGGGCAACGGCGCCACTGGCAGAAAGCCACTCCCCCTCCCTCCCGGGAGCGAAGATCCCTGTAGGGGAGTGCGAGTCACTCTGTTAGTGGGGCTAGCGCCCCCCATTTCATTCAAAAAAATCTTTTTTTTATTTCATTCCACTCCCGGGGAGGGAGTGATTGAATTCAAAAAAATCTTTTTTTTTTATTTCATTCCACTCCCGGGGAGGGAGTGATTTCATTCCACTCCCTTTTAGGGATAGTGATGGGGATAGTGACTCTGTTCCTTTAAAGATTAAAGAGTGGTACGAATTACTGTGCAGTACCTCCACTTCCGTATGGAGAGCGAAAAGACAGTAACTAAGCCAAAAAAACTTTTTTTCCGCACAACAAGGGCGGTAGCCTTACCAGTGAAGCAAAACGGAAAGTGTACACCACAGCAACTCGCTGTGCTCATTTTTTTTATGAAACAACTGATTAAAAATGGGAATCGAGGGATCCTAGCTCTTTGTTTCTTTTTTATTTTTAGCTTTTGTTTTTTCAATAGAGTGAAAACGCTAGTTGCTCATTCAAGCACCTTCTTTTAATATATTCAAAGCCAAAGAGCTATAGAATGTGGAGCAGAATTTTCGAGGTTGTTAAAAAAAAGTATGAGCGATAATACGCAAAAATTTGAATAAGATAAAGAGCTTTTTTTTCTATCGGAGCTAGAGACAATCGATTGAACACGCTCTTGCCTGATGGCTCAAAGTATGGGCGAACGGGTGATCTACCACATGGGCTGGTCTGCATATAATTGCATTTGAAAACTCAGAATCTTTCAAAAGAAAGACAATACTTTACTTTGGTACAATTGCTTACCATTTGATTGAGTAGAACTGTATCCATTTTTCTCTTTTTTGCATTTTTGAAGGGTTGCAGCCTTTGTGGAATAACACCTTTCTGCTTTGAATGATTGAGAATCATCATCCGATTTTCCTTTTTCAAGAAAACAGCGCTCCTAATATCATTGATGTATTCGTGTACATTTCTAGCCTTCGCGTAAACTCTGGTTTTTCTTATATTCATCTAAAATAAGACTCGGGCACTGTTTGCAAATCTTTTATGGAGAAGAACTTCAACCCAACGTGCTCTGGATATTTTCAAAACAAAACGAGTTGGCCATATTTAAAAAACGAGTAGTGTAGGCATAGCAAAAAAAAAGGAGTTTCATAAGCGTATGAGCATAAACAGCCTTAAAAAAGAAATCCCTGTAGTCCGGTGAATAGCAAAAAAAAACATCTCCTTGGGCGATCGCCCACGAATGAAATAAAAAAAGAGATTTTTTTGAATAAAATCACTCCCCCCGGGAGTGGAATGAAATCAAAAAAGAGATTTTTTTGAATTCAATCACTCCCCCCGGGAGCGGAACAAAGTGGGGCACGCCAGTGCCACTAATGAATTCCAAGAGAAAATGGGCTGCGCTGAAATAAAAGAATCTTTTTTTTTACTCCAATCCCTTACGGAGAACGAAGAGTCACTAATGGGGCTGTTGCCCCCTGGTTCGCTGAAAAAAAAGTGTTTTTTTTATCTATGCTCCAATCCCCTTCGGGGAGCGAAGAGCCACACTTTCAAAAAGTGTGGCTCTTCGCTTTAACCCCCTGCGAGAATAGGCTCTGCTTCAAAGCTTTCCCATTCCTTTCCGTGTTCATGGACAAAATTCTTTTTTCTACCATTCCTTGGGCTATCTGTTCCTGGCGGGAGTGGCTTAATGCTCATCATAAGACTTACTCGTTTAGGATGGGTGTCTGAGCGGTTGAAAGTACCGGTCTTGAAAACCGGCGTATTGTCATGCAATACCGGGGGTTCAAATCCCTCCCCATCCATTATGAATCAATCTGCATTCTACCAAGTAATCAAAGAGACCCAAATTCGATTGGGGTGGTTTATCTCCGGCTTTTTTTTTTCTTGTTGCGTAGGGTACGCTTATTCCGAAGAACTCATTTTCTTTTTTGCGTTGCCAATTCAAACAAGTGGTGTTATAACCGAATTTTTATGCACACAAATGACGGAAGCTTTTCAGACTTATTTGAAAGTAAGCTTTGTTGTTTCATTGTACGTAAACACCCCATTTTTTATTTACCAAATGTGGTGCTTCTTTATTCCTAGTTACACAGAGCAGCAAAGGCACGTTGCTACACAATGGCTTATTCTGAGTGCTACTTTTTTTTTTGGAGGGTTTGTCTTTGCTTATTGGCTTGCTGTTCCCACAATTTGGGCTTTCTTTATAAAGCAATGTAGTTCATCGATTTCAATGTTACATTTTGAGTTACAACCAAAAGTTTACGATTATACGTTGCTATTATTCCGTATTATGTTCTTTTTTGGACTCTGTTCGCAATTGCCTTTATTTGTTGCTTGGCTTATAAAGCAAAAAGCCCAAAAGACAGGGCAACGTTTTCAAGAGCATTCTTTACTCTTTCATAGAAAAAAAATATTTTTCGGATCAATTTGTGTTGCAGCATTGTTGTCACCACCTGATTTATGGAGCCAACTGATTGTATTGCTGCCGACCTATTTCTTCATAGAGATTGTAACATTTTATGAAATCCTTTTGGGCGAGTATAACTTAGTTGGTCAAAGTGCCGGACTGTGACTCTGGAAACATGGGTTCAAATCCCGTTATTCGCCAGGCTCGTGAACAAAGAGAAAGAAGCAAAGCGCATAAAAATTTCAAACAATAAAGCAGATTTTGTGATTTGGAGGGCTGGCACCCACGGCTGGGCTGCGCTGAAAAAAACTCTTTTTTCTCTTCGCTCCAATCCCCTTCGGGGAGAGGCTCTTCGCTCCAATCCCCTTCAGAGAGAGGCTCTTCGCTCCCTCCACACTTTCAAAAAATGTGGCTTTTCACTCCAATCTCCGTAGGGTATGGGCTCTTTGCTCATTCCACTCTCCTTTTTTGGGGGGGTAATTGAGACAGACTGCCGTCTCTCACTTCAAAAAAATCAATTGATTTTTGATTGAATACGTTTATTCTTTTTTTCCGCATCAAAGTAGACAATGTTTTTCACATGTTAAAAAAGCCACATCTTATCCGATCTGACTCCACGCTAATAAGTGACGCTGTTTTTTCAAATGGTAGCTCTGAGTCTTATGTCTCATTTCTTCAACCATCTCGAATCATGCGCTATTCTGCTCTACTTGTTCCTATTCTTTGGTATATATGTTTGTTCCTAAGTGCTCTTGGCCTCTATCTTGGTATATGGGTTGCGCCTTCCGATTTTCAGCAAGGAGAGAATTATCGTATACTATTTATTCATGTGCCATCTGCTTGGATGAGCGTCCTTCTTTATTTTTTTCTGACTCTAACGAGTGCTGGCTTTTTTTTTAACAAGCATCCAATCTTTATTTACGGCTCAAGAATTTTTTGTGCGATTGGTGCCCTATTTACGTGCCTAACTCTACTGACCGGTTCATTGTGGGGAAAGCCTATGTGGGGTACCTTTTGGGTGTGGGATGCACGATTGACATCAGTGCTTATCCTGCTTTTTATTTATTTGGGAGCTATGCTACTGTATAAGTGGTCTCCTGACGTTGCCCCTCTGTTTGTTTTCATAGGGCTATTAAACATTCCAATTATTAAGTTTTCTGTAAATTGGTGGAACACCTTGCATCAGCCCTCAAGTATAACCCAATTTGGAACAGAAATCCATATCTCAATGCTTGTACCTATGAATGCTTTGTTTTTCCAGTTCTTCCTCTTGGTGCTTCTTCTGTTCCTTTTAGAGCTCCGACGTGAGATTCACAACAAAACAATTGATTCTCTTGTTCAATCTTTTCGAACGGTACCGTATCCAAAGTGAAAAAATCAGTGAAGCTCAATTTGAATGAATTTAGGAGCAGAGCCGCTTTCGACGCCTACCGGGAGTGCCGTTGTGAATGGCTTTTCGCTCCCAGTAGGGGATTGGAGTAAAGAGAAAAAAAAACTCTTTTTTTCAGCCGAGCAAAAGACAATAGCCTCGCTAACGAAATGCGGGGATAGAAACCCGCTAAGAGTCTTCCTAGCGAAGCCACACCCTAAATGTATAACAAAGCCTTGGGCGAGCGCCCAAGGAGCGAAAAGCCACTCCCCTTCGGGGAGTGGAGCGAAAAGCCACGAATGGGGCTGTTGCCCCCTGCTTCGCTGAAAAAAAAAGTTTTTTTTTCTCTACGCTCCAATCCCCTTCGGGGATCTTCGCTGAAAAAAAAGTTTTTTTTTTTATCTTCGCTCCAATCTCCTTCGGAGAGAGGCTCTTCGCTGAAAAAAAAGTTTTTTTTTTTATCTTCGCTCCACACTTTTTGAAAGTGTGGCTCTTCGCTCCACACTCTTTGAAAGTGTGACTATTCGTTCCCCGAAGGGGGTTGGAGCGGAGTAAAAAAGAGAGTTTTTTTTTCAGCGCAGCTCAGCCGTGGGCTAGCGCCTAAAAAGAGCATTATTATCTTGTGTTACATGTTTTGTAAATGATTCTTGTAAAAGGAGCAAATACAAAGGATAAGAAAATAGAGTATCCCATTAAGCACAGAAGGGCGGAAAAATCTGTACAACTGCTTGTACAAAGAATAAGAGCTGGTAGTAAGGTTGGGAGAGTTAGTATGGAGCACACAGTTGTATTGACCGAAGTTTGCTTGAAACCAAGTAAGAGAGCCGAATGGATTGCTCCTATACATAAGAAGAGCAAAGTTCCTACCCCAAACATACCATAATGCGTATAAGAGAATGAGGAGTTATAAAAGACTTGTAAAGCAGGGATACAGCATAATAATCCAATCATATGAAAAAGCCAATAAGATAGAAGTTTTATACGCAAGCTTTTAGCAAATAAGCCAGTAATCAACCAGAGATCTAGCGTGCCATCTTCAAAGTCTGCGGCATAGAAACGGTCAGTGCTCTGCATAGTTACAAGAACAATACAAAGCCAGATTAAACCCGTATGGATTAAGGGTAAACCATCCCAACCAATTGATAAGCATAAGCATGCGGCTGCATTCAAGAAGATAAAAAAAAGAAAAGGGGTGAGCATAGTAATTGCGGAGATTTGATATTGCGCCATTATCATCTTTTATTCAATCTAATTTTTTTCTTGAATCGATTTTTATTGCAAATTAACACCATACTATTGAAAACCCAATACATAAACAAAAGAGACCGATTATTGCTTGGGATGGGATAAGTAATCTTGTTCAGTATGCTCGAGGGGGTATCTGCATCAACAAAAGCAGTGATGGGTAACTTAAGGTTGTAAGCCTCATGGATCGCATATTCATTGTTATTTGGGTCTAACACAACAAGTAAGTTCGGTCGATGTTGCTTGCGAAGATATTGAAAAAGCCTTCGACTTTTTTTCAATCGTGGGAAACTATCACATACTTCTTGAAATTGACCAATGATTGGCGAGTTTATATGATCCCCTGTTGTAGGAGAAAAAAAAAGAACTGTTTTTTTAATTTGTTTCCAATTTGTTAGAATGCCCCCAGTCCACTGATCAACAACAGCGCTATGACCAAAGTTCTTAGTGATGAATAATGTAAAGTTGTTCAACTCTGGTTTTGTGTTTAAGAAGAGGATATGGTGTCTCTTTCTAGACAACACATTTAAAAATTGAAACATATGTCTGCAACACTGTAAGGTTTGTGATAAATCAAAAATGCTGCTTTCATTTCGAAAGCCGCGTATATACGAAAACATTGCTGGGTTTGCTTCTTTTTTGCCCTTATGAGCCTTAGCCTGTAGAAGTCTTTTTAAAATTTTTGGAGATTCTTGCATGTTAAAACTATTAATAACTACCCTTTGCCCTCCCAATCCTTTGGGGGTTAGCGCCCTTCGCTGCGCCGAAAAAAAATCTCTTTTTTCTTTTCCACTGCCTACCGGGAGCGAAGATCCCTGTAGGGGAGGAGAGTGACTTCGTTAGTGGGGCTAGCGCCCCCCATTTCATTGCACTTCCTTTTAGGGGGATTTGTTCAAGAAACAATTCTTTGACTTGGTTCATTCCTATCCTATAGTCTTAATCTTCTGTTTGGGTAGCTCAGTTGGTTAGAGCAAAGGACTGAAAATCCTTGTGTCGGTGGTTCAAGTCCACTCCCAGACAAGAATGGGGGTCACTCAGAATTTCTTTCCAAATACAATAGCATCGCTTTGCTAGGGGGGATTTTACCCCTTTTTTAGCTTCACTCTTTTACGGCAGTGACTGCGTTGATGCAGTGTACGAAGGAAGAGATAAAAGCTTTCCGAAATTACTTTTTTGAAGAGTGAGCGCAGTTGAAATGCGGTAAACGTATGAACGTAGAGCCATTCAAATCCCCGTAGAGGAGTGAAGCGAAGAGTCTTTCTCCGAAGGGGATTGGAGCGAAGAGCCTCTCTCCGAAGGAGATTGGAGCGAAGATAAAAAAAAAACTTTTTTTTCAGCGAAGAATGCCTTCCCCAAAGGGATTGGATCAAAGCCGGGAGCTCAAACTTTCTCAATAAAAAGAAAAAACATTTTTTCAATTTGAATGAGCGCACAGCCTATCTTGTACGGGATTGGAGCGTAGTCAAAAAAAACTCTCTTTTTTAGCGGAGCTGGGGGGCCTCAATCCCCTCAATAAAAAATTGATTTTTTATAGAGCCAAAGGCAGATTTGCATGCCCGATTGAATCGTTTCTTACTCACTTGGTTGGATTATTGACTGTTACTGCATTTTTAAAATTTCAAAATTTTGATTTGGGAAAAGTGAGCTTCCTCGCCTGGCTCATTTCACTAGCAAAGTTGCTCTCTAGAAGGGAATGGAGTGAAACTTATAAGCGCATAGCTGGGGGCTCATACTCCCCAAAGAAAAGATCTATGCTCTATCTTTTTTGAAGGCATCTCAATTATGTATTTACTTATTGTTACTTTACCTTTGCTAGGCTGTGCTACATCAGCCCTTTTTGGCCGGTTTCTAGGGTCTCGTGGGGCTGCAATTGTAACCACAAGTTGCGTGGGCACAAGCTTTCTTTTCAGCTTAGTTGCCTTCTACGAGGTTGCCTTAGTTGGATCTGCTTGCACTCTGCAATTTGCTCCGTGGTTTGATTCAGAGATGTTTGATGCATCTTGGGGGTTTCTTTTTGACAGTCTAACCGTAGTGATGCTTATTGTGGTCACACTTGTGAGTACACTTGTGCACACGTATTCAATATCATACATGTCAGAAGACCCTTTTCTACCCCGGTTTATGTGTTACTTATCAATCTTTACCTTCTTTATGCTTATGTTGGTAAGCGCAGACAATCTTATCCAAATGTTCTTAGGATGGGAAGGTGTAGGACTTGCATCTTACTTACTTATTAATTTTTGGTTTACAAGACTTCAAGCAAACAAGGCTGCAATAAAGGCAATGCTTGTGAACAGAGTAGGCGACTTTGGCTTAGCTCTTGGGATTATGAGCTGCTTTTTAGTCTTTCAAAGTGTGGATTATCATGTCTTATTTGCAGTTGCAAATGAATGGGCTATGAAAGAGTCTTTAGCGCCTGAATCTTTTGTGTTTTGTAATATGCATGTCGACGCTCTTTCCGCAATTTGTTTGTTATTGTTTGTAGGCGCTGTTGGGAAATCAGCCCAAATAGGGCTTCATACTTGGTTGCCAGATGCTATGGAGGGGCCCACTCCTGTTTCTGCACTCATTCATGCTGCCACAATGGTGACCGCAGGTGTATTCTTAATTGCTCGCTGTTCCCCCTTATTCGAATACGCGCCAAACGCTTTAGTTGTTGTGACCTGTATGGGTGCTATGACCGCTTTCTTTGCAGCAACAACTGGGATTCTTCAAAATGACTTAAAAAGAGTCATTGCTTACTCAACTTGTAGTCAACTAGGATACATGGTTTTTGCTTGTGGGATTTCGAATTATGCAGTAAGTATCTTTCACCTTATGAACCATGCTTTTTTTAAAGCCTTGCTATTCCTGAGCGCTGGCTCTGTCATTCATGCAATGTCAGATGAGCAAGATATGCGTAAGATGGGTGGGTTGAACCAAGTCTTACCTTTCACTTATGCTATGATGCTTATTGGAAGCTTAGCACTTATTGGTTTTCCCTTCTTGACGGGTTTTTATTCAAAAGATGTTATCCTTGAATTAGCTTATACCAAGTATACAATAAGCGGACATTTTGCATTTTGGCTCGGAAGTCTCTCTGTTCTATTTACATCTTATTACTCATTTCGGCTACTATTCTTAACTTTTTTGGAGAATACAAATGCTTTCAAGCAGGATATAAAAAATGCGCATGACGCACCACCTCTAATGGCAGCACCCTTGATTGTGCTAGCATTTGGAAGCTTATTCGTAGGCTATCTATGCAAAGATATGATGATTGGCTTAGGCACAGATTTCTGGGGGCAATCAATCTTTGTGTTGCCTGACAATTCAAATCTAAGTGAGTCTGAGTTTTCCACACCACAGATCGTTAAATTGATCCCTTTGCTATTGAGTACCCTAGGGGCTGGCATTGCTTATTGGATCAACAATCATAAGAATTCATTTGTATATGACTTCAAGACCAGCTCTTTAGGAAGGCGTTTCTATACTTTTTTGAACAAGCGTTGGCTGTTTGATAAAGTATTGAATGAATTCTTGGCACAATCGGTCTTACGATTTGGCTATTCAATAAGCTTTGTGACCTTGGATAAGGGTGTTATTGAACTATTGGGCCCTTACGGGATTGCAACAACTATGCGTACTTTGAGCAAACGGACAAGTGGGTTGCAAAGTGGTTTGATTTATCACTACGCTTTTATTATGTTAATTGGGCTTACAGTCTTGATTACTTTTATAGGCCTTTGGGATATTGTATCATTTTGGGTAGATAGCCGCCTGTTTTTAATCTTTTTTTGTACTTTTTTATTTTTGCCGCAGCGAAGCTAAATGATCAAAAAACGACCGAACACAGCACAAAAATACTAGTAAAACGCATAAAAGAAAGTAGGGGGTGGTAATCTCTTAAAGTTATCCCCCTTCTTTTTGAGCTGTACGCAATAGAGCACGCCAGCCCCAAAAGCGCAGTTCAAAGTTTGTCTTTTTTGAAAGAGAATGGGAGGTTAGTACCCCCATTTCTTCGCTGAAAAAAAATCTCTTTTCTTCTTCGCTCCACTCCCTATCGGGAGCGAAGAGCCACTCCCGTCCAGGGAGTGGAGCGGAGCAGGGGGCAATAGCCCCATCAGTGATTTCATTGCACTCCCGAGGGGGGAGTGATTTCATTCAAAAAAATCTCTTTTTTGATTTCATTCCACTCCCGGGGGGAGTGATTTCATTCCACTCCCGGGGGGGGAGTGATTTCATTCAAAAAAATCTCTTTTTTGATTTCATTCCACTCCCGGGGGGAGTGATTTCATTCGTGGCACTGACGTGCCCCACTTTGTTCCACACTTTTTGAAAGTGTGGCTCTTTGCTCCCCGAAGGGGATTGGTCTTTCTGTGTTCACACACAGTTCTTTTTCTATTGGGTAGAGAGTGCCTTCTCCATTGGGGTACATTCCCTACCCTAGAGTGCTCTAGTACTTTACTGCTACAGCTGTGCTGGATAAAAGATTCTTTTTTTATCAGACTTTTGATTTTGTTCGCTCTTTCTATATAAGCACCCGTTGTGGTCACCGAATCTACAACCCACTTATGAATGTATTTAACAACCTTAGTACCTTAATCTTTCTCCCACTGTTAGGAGCAATCTTACTCTTGTTTGTTCCTAACAACATAAGGCTAATCCGACAGATTGGTCTAATTTCTGCACTTCTTGCTTTTATTCATTCTTTATTCTTTTGGGTTCGATTTGATAACTCAACAGCACACTTCCAATTTGTTGAACAAATGAACTGGTTGCCGAGTTCAAACATTCAGTTGTACATTGGAATCGATGGCATTTCTTTATTCTTTATCTTATTAACGACCTTTTTAATCCCTATATGCATGTTAGCAGGATGGTCAAGCATTCAAAACTATAGAAGAGAATTTATGATTGCATTCTTAGTATTAGAAGCTCTTATGATTGCTGTGTTCTGTATGCTCGATTTACTCCTTTTTTATGTGTTTTTTGAGAGTGTGCTTATCCCTATGTTTTTGATTATTGGTGTGTGGGGCTCACGAGAAAGAAAGATACGGGCGGCTTATCAATTTTTTTTATATACATTGTTTGGATCTGTTTTTATGCTGCTAGGCATTCTTTTTCTTTTCTTTCAAACAGGTACTACGGATATACAAATCTTGTATACGACTGAATTTAGCGAACGCCGTCAGATTTTGCTATGGCTTGCTTTCTTTGCCTCGTTTGCGGTAAAAGTACCAATGGTTCCAGTTCATATATGGTTGCCAGAAGCCCATGTTGAAGCACCAACCGCAGGCTCTGTGATCTTAGCTGGAATCCTACTCAAATTGGGCACATACGGTTTTTTACGTTTCTCTATTCCAATGTTTCCCGATGCTACGCTTTATTTTACGCCACTGATCTTCACACTCTCTGTGATTGCAATTGTATACACCTCTTGTACTACACTGCGCCAGGTTGATTTAAAAAAGATTATTGCGTACTCATCTGTGGCTCATATGAATTTTGTAACCATTGGTTTGTTTAGCCTCAATCCGCAAGGAATTGAAGGAAGCTTAATGTTAATGTTAAGCCATGGATTTGTATCGTCTGCGCTTTTTTTATGTGTAGGTGTGCTCTATGACCGGCATCACACAAGACTTGTTCGTTATTACGGAGGATTAGCAAATACAATGCCAGTCTTTTGCGCAATATTCTTGTTCTTTACGTTGGCGAATATGAGTCTGCCTGGAACAAGTAGTTTTGTAGGCGAATTTTTGATTCTTGTAGGTGCTTTTCAAAGCAATACATTTGTTGCGACTCTTGCTGCAACAGGAATGGTGCTAGGAGCAGCTTATTCCTTATGGCTTTACAATCGTGTAGCTTTTGGAAACTTAAAGCCTCACTTTCTTGCCACCTACTCTGATTGTAACCGAAGAGAATTTTTTATGTTCTTACCTTTTGTAATTGTTGTAATTTGGATGGGAATTTATCCTCAAATATTTCTTGACACTATGCACGATTCGGTCATGCATTGTATTGAACACAGCCGTATATAATGAAGAATCAGAGAGGCTATAAGTGGGGGGATGAGCCAATTTTGGGGGAAACAAGCTCAAAACCCTCGCCCCCCCTTTAACCACCAGATTCCTTTCACCTCCTCTGCCTTCCACTCCCTATCGGGAGCGAAGAGCCACTCCCCGAAGGGGAGTGGATTGATTTCATTAGCGGCATTGGCGTGCCCCACTTTGTTCAAAAAAATCTCTTTTTTTACTTCGTTCCACTCCCCTTGGGGGAGAGCGACTTCGTTCCACTCCCCTTGGGGGAGAGCGACTTCGTTCCACTCCCCTTGGGGGAGAGCGACTTCGTTCCACTCCCCTTGGGGGAGAGCGACTTCGTTCCACCTCAAACAAATTGGTGAGCATAGCTCCTCGTTGGGGGGGACTCTTAGGTTGCACCTCTTTCTTTCATTGAGTGGTTACCGCCCCTCCAATAAGACGCATGCCCTTTTGCTAAAAAAAGAGTCTTTTTTTGCTGCGATGGTTGGGAGAGCGCCCATAACGTTGCAATTCACTCCTTGCAATTTTATTCAGCATAGGCCTATAGTTTAACTGGTAGAGCACACCGCTCATAACGGTGAATGTGTAGGTTCGAGCCCTACTAGGCCTAGTCTGTATTTTCAAAATCTATGATAGAGAAGACTCTAATTGAATTGAATAAAATGCAATTAGATTATTGAATAAAAGAATTAGAAGAGTGCTATCTTTATTACACGCATAGCCTGCCGTTGTTTTCAATTGATAGGAGAATCTTGTTCTTTTTTCGCATAGCCATAGTTCTAATCTTTTATAAAACCATAGAAAGCATGTTCTTTTTTTAATACCTTGAAAAACACGGAACATAGTATTCATAAAAATCGAACGGATTCTTTATTCTTTTGTTCAAAAGCATTTTGACAATTAGGCTGTAGGCTCAGGAATTGAAAAATTGTTTACGACAACGTGCAAACTTGAAAGGGAGAATGTTGTTTTTTTAGCCTCTTGGCTTCAAATGAAAAGTGTGATTTGGATTGCGGAGTTTACACGATAGACCCAGCAACGAGAAACAACCCCTCGTTTGAGCAGTTCAAACCTGACCAGGCTATTATTATGGGAAACAAGGTAGTTCGTCTATACCCTGCCCCAGATCTTGCAGCCAGAAACTATATAGAAGAGCAAGCCCCCCGGGCGACAAGCGAAACACCCCTCGCGGTTCAAGGCACCACAATCAAACCCTTGCTCTCTTTTTTAATAATTCACCACTCACTAGGGTGGGGGGTAGGAGGGGGTCACCCCTCATCTCTCTTGCACCCCCTCACCCCCGATGCGCAAGCAACCCCCCATACAACCAAGAAGAAAGAAACGAGTTTATTGAAGCTTCTAGGAAAGTTAACGAGGAACTACACAATCAACCAACCCGCGCGGGGAAGAGGAGCGCCCCCTCCCTGCACCCTCTCCCCTATTCAAGGGATACAAGGAAAGAAGCTACACCACCTTTATCCACTAATCTACTAATCTCCAAATAAACGAATCTTGTTAGGGAAATTACAATCAACTTTGCTTTTTTACACCCGTAAATGAAGGGCATCTTCTAAAAGACAATCCCGCCTAAAAAATTCATCCAATTTTAGCTACTGAAAACTATTAAGGTTTTACTATTAAACAAGAAAAAGGATGAAATGGTTTACGCGACTAAAATCAGATAGACTACCCGTTTTAAACATATAGACTATCCTTTTTGCAAGGGTTTTCATCAAAATTTTCTTCAAATCATTTTGTTAGGCGCTCAAGAAAGACTATCCCTCTTACAAAAAAGACTATCGCTTTCCTCCTTTTTTTATAGAATCTTTTATAAAGCCCACTTTCAAAAGAAGAATCAGTTATATGCTTGAATCGAGTGTCTATCTAGAAATTTTTTTTGCGGCCTGAGCCTGACTTACGTGTGTTTTTGTCTTTTGAACTTTTAAGGCGCCCCCTGCCCTTTTTAGGCATTTCTATGGTAGGCAGAAAGCCCGTAACCCCCCGCTGCGTAGTATTGGACTCTAACAAGCCTTTTTCATTTGGAAACTCAAAGTCTTTTGAACCAACCATCAGCGTACGTAAAAGCAACTGCCACCAGGGAGCCACATCTTTCAAGTCTAGCGGGGATGCGGGGCGCCTCTTTGTAGTAAACATTACGCATCGGCAAAGCACTTCTCCAAAGTGCGGGATTCGTGCGCGCCAACCATTTGTCTCATCCAAATAACTTTCCAAAATTGAGATTGCGACCTTCTCAGTTTCTTCTGTGCGAGGATATATGCGAACTTCTACCCTACTTCTTGGCGCCCAGCTCGACTCAGCTCTGTCTTTACGCTCCTCTCGCCTGTTATAAAACACAGCAACTTCATCGCTTTTTCTAGAATTGCCAAAATATACCGAATCTAGAATCAACTGCTTATTCTCAAAATCTTTAAAAAGTTTACTATTGCGCCCCGCAGCGCCCTCTACCCGTTCACCCGCCAACCAACCGAAAGCAAAGGGGTGCCGCCCATTTATATTGACCCGTTTTTATGCCATGGGAAACGTAAGGCATAATGTCCTCGCTTAGGTCTATACATAGATCCACCCGAGCAAGCTTACACAACCCAGACTTAAGACCCTCAAGAATGTTAGCCAAAAACTTTTTATCGAATTTCAAAACACGATGCAAATCTCTTATACCGCTTTTCAACTTGTAAAGGGTGTTTGACTCTGAACAAAGACCTTTCTCAGACAAATGACCTCCCTTTCCTTGATTAACATTCCGAAAAATTCTTTCCATTAGCACATCGCCAGTCTCTAAATCGGTAGAATCCATCCCGGAGCTTTCACATTCGGCAAAATGATTAATCAATTGACTCCCCAACCCCGCGTTTACTAACGAAGTAAATAAGCAGTCGCTATCGCTGCTTAACTCCAACAACGACAGCGCGCCCAACTCTGGGGTGAACATTTGACTATGGACTAGCGTCAAAGGACGACGAAACTTTACGTAGGTACGAAAGTACACCTCCCGACCCACTTCAAGTTCTGAGAATGTATCAATTAGCGAATTCGATGATCCTAGGCGCTCAAAGCTATTCTCATTGTATGTGTTATATAAAGGTCTGCTCATTTTTTTTTATAAAATTATTAAGGTTTCGTTTCTTCTCGGGCTTTATTGAAAATATGCACCCACTACCCCTAAAAATCGACGAGATTCAACGAAACCCGCGAAAACGTATCACAATTGGATAATTTATTGAGGGGTATTTACCCGTTTGAAAACGTTATTCGGGAGGGTTTTGGGAAGACTAGCGCCTTACACATAAACGCGTGTACTGGGACTAGTGTCTCATAGAAGCCACGACATGCCTTTCCGTATACTTTAATAACTTAGCAATAATAGTCGCTCTAAAACTATGAGTTCTAAGATGCTTTTCAAGTTGAGCAGAAGCTATGGCTAGTATCTTATTGAGCTCTTTATCAAAGTTTTCCCTAGCAATAGGTTTACTAAAGTCTTTTGCTGTAGTGAAAAGGAGCATATGACCACTTTTATGCTTAGAAAGCTCAAGAAAATCGTCTTTAAACTGAAGCAGCATTTTGCTCCCTTTAGCGCTTAATTGAAGTGGATATTGAGTTTCGCCGCCTTTAATAAGGGGTATGTGGGTGTTGCCCTTTTCGAATAACTCACTGCCATGGGCTACTTTAAAGAGAAGTCAATTAGAAACTCTTAATCCGGTAAGAAAAAGGAGTACGAGTGCTAAGCGCCTTCGAGGTCTAGCATTTCCCCTACACTTAACAAGAGTTATAATAAACTCAAACTCCTCAGCGGAGACGGTTTGCCTTATTTCTTGCTTTTTAGCTTGCTTCTTTTTAAGCTTTCTTTGCTCTTTCTCTTGTTTTTCTCGTTGCGCAGCTTGAGCTTGTTCGCTTAAGTAGTGAATTTTTTGCTGTGTCTCGAGATGTTTACGAGACCTTGTATTGGCTTTGAATCTCTTCGGCACGTGCTTCAGCTTCTTTGGCGGTTTGGGTAAGGCGGGCAATAACTTGCTCTTTCCTTTGTTCAATTTGGTTTATAACTTGTTTTTGAAGTTTCTCTTGATCCTTTTTCCATTCTATAAAAAAGCGTAACCAGTCACCTTTCAATTGCTGAGCAACCTGCCTTCTATATTCGATGGCTTCTTGAGCAAGCAAAGAGTTCTCATTTTTTACAATCAATTGGGTAGGCTCTTGGGGGTGTTCGTTACCATGCTTTAAAAAGAGAGCTTCTTCCATTTGATTGGGTGAAAGCCCCTCTAGGTGCCTATGGGGCTTTGAGTTATATTTTTCAATCGCTTGCTGAACAAAGGAAGCCATCTCTTGGGAAGAGAACTGGAGTTGCTTGAGTGGATCTGGGTCTTTTTGTTTCCAACCAGGACAAATGAGCACGCGCAGTATGCTTTGAAGGGTTCTAAAAAGTCTTTCAACTACTTGATTTTGATGTCCCTTAGAAGATCCTTTACTCTTTAGTATTTTGTATTGATCTATACAATCATAATACTCTGGGTTAGTGAAAATAGATCCCCGGTTCGTTTGTATAATCTCTATCTTAGGCAAAAAACTTCTTTTTTTGGTTAGTTGTGTTAGAGTCTGACAAACATGCTCAGTAGTAATCGCCTCATTATGATACCAATGGCCTACAATATGTCTTGCTGCCATATCTACTGCTACAACCAATTGACCATAGACGCCTAAATTCGTTATATCCATACAAATAGCATAATTTGTACGAATCGAGATATACTTTTGCATTATTAAGTTCCTAACTTCGTTTTTGTTTTCATTCATTTGAATAGTCATTTAAAAACATTCAAATAGCAAATTAGAAAGGCGGGCAAGTGGACGCTAACATTTCAATCTATGAGGCAAGCAGATAATTTCTTAAAAGAAAAGATACATTCCTTTAATGAGGATTTGAAAGGAACTACACTTCAAAATGTCCCACCTACTCAATTGCACTTAGCACTAACACAACAAAAGCATAAAGCACCTAAAGTTGTTGCTCATTGGAATAGAAAGAAAGGTGAAGTTCCCCACATTCTTTCAACTCAAATCCATAAATTGAAGAAAGAAGCTACTGAAGCGTGGGAACCAACAAATAGGTCTCCTAAGAATCGTTTAAGAAAAACAAAGCGTTATTCAGCTATAGCAAGCAGCTCCGAGAGCTATAAAACAAAAGGGAGTGAATGATAAAAGAATCAATCGTTTAGAACAAATACAGCAACGATTGGAAACAAAACCAAAGCGAACTGTTCGGAAAGAAATGCCATTGCGGGATCCTGCTTCAGAGTCTGTTTATGACTTCTTAATGTCTTTGAAAAGAGCGTTGTACATTAATAGATATGTTTGGGCAAGAGCTAGAATAGCTATTACTCTTTTAAGATTTTTAGGCTTACGTGCTAGCGATGCAGCGTCGCTTACACTCAAAGATATTGAATCTGGTTTGCGACACGGATCATTTCAGGTTTCCCAATCAAAAACCGGCAAGTATAGGGTTGTTGTTCTCACAAAAAGCGCAAAAGAAATGCTAGAAAAGCTCGACCTTGATATTCAAACAGTCTTTAGGCAGCAATATAATAAACCACTCGCTAGCGCCGAGAATTCAACAAAACAAATAAGCAAAGATCAGTGGATTCGCTCCATTAATCGCTTTATGCAACCTGCAATTTCAAAGTTTAATCTCATTTTAACGAGTCATTCATTCCGGATCAATTCCATTCCAAGACTTTTAAGGGTTGTCCCATTGCAAAACGTCAAAACAATTGTAGGTCATAAAGACATAAGAACTACTGAACGTTATGACCGTTTCGTTGTAGATCCAAAAGCCATTAGCCAAATTGTAGAAACGGCTTTAAACACAAACAATAAAGACAATCAAAAGTCTGTCAAACCTACCGAATAAGAGCTAAGAGCGCCAAGTTATTTAAAAGTTTCAACAAGATACATTCTATATCAATTAAACAAAGCAATCATGCCTTTAAGAAGCCTTAAAAGGCATGATTGCTATAGTTAGTAGCTAAAGGATGTAGTTTTTAATAGCTCTTCAAATGCCCAGCTTTAGTCAATAAGCTACAAGAACGTAAAGCACAGCTTTTAGCAAACCACTAGATTGAGTACCCGTCAACTATAGCGTTATGTAAAAACCTGTGGTTTAGATAGAAACAGCGCCCTAATTCGCTTAAACCCTGGGCGGTTCAAAAAAAACCGCGGGGGTTACTGATTCTCTTTCTCTCATTATTCAAAAAACAAAGAGCGGAAAGGGCAAACTTGATCATTTTTTATCATTCTCGAAAGGATTGGTTCACCAATAGTTTCTTCGACCCTAATCGTAGCGGCAAGTTTTTATTGGCTCAGAAAGCAGACTTCTACAAAAATTTTCAAATCAATAAAGAGAAAGAATTTTTTTTTATAAAACTCTTTCCGATTGAAAGGCTAGAATGATTGAAAAATTGACCGAGTGAGCATTGCTTTTTTTAAGAAAGACTCATCCTAAACATGGAAACAGAGTCTGCCTTCATCGAAGGATCAGCCGTCGTAGAAATGATTGATGCGTTGGCTTGCTTTCATCTTTCATAAGAAGGCGGGTTGAAAAAAGTTTGCAAGTAGCCTTTAAAAAAGGAATAGAATCGCTGATGGGGCTATTGCCCCCTGCTCCGCTCCACTCCCTGGAGGGCAGTGGCTCTTCGCTGAAAAAAAAGTGTTTTTTTTATCTTCGCTCCAATCTCCTTCGGAGAGAGGCTCTTCGCTCCAATCTCCTTCGGAGAGAGGCTCTTCGCTCCAATCTCCTTCGGAGAGAGGCTCTTCGCTCCTCCAAAAAGAAAGTGGAATGAAATAAAAAAAGAGATTTTTTTGAATGAAATCACCCCCTCTCCGGGAGTGGAATGAAATCAAAAAAGAAATTTTTTTGAATGAAATTGGCGGCGCTAGCTCCACTAACGAAGTCACTCGCGGCAGGAAGTCAAATGAAATGGGGGGCTTTAGCCCCACTAAGAGCCTATCCCCGTAGGGGTTTGGAACCTTCCACTCACCCTTACTCGTTCAAAACAATGCATTTCTTAAGATAGCAAAATAAATGTGCTTAGAAACCATCTTATTGAACGATTTTTTTGTTGAAACAGCCACTTCAGAAGCTCGGGAATTGTTGCAGTATAAATACGAGCGTTTAAAGCTTTGAAATATTCTTTGGCTGAATCTACCTTTGTTGAACTTTCATTCTCTGCCACTCGCACAAAACCTTGCATGCGGCTCCTTCCCTTCATTTGTTGAAACCTTGCTTTCTTTTGTTGAAACTTTGTTTTCGTGATTTATGTGCCATTTTTCTTTTCATTCACTTCCCTCTATAACATTTTGATTGGTATACAATAGAGTCAAATGAAAAAAGGTTAACCCTCTTTTAGTATGGAATAACAGAAAATCCTCCGGAGAGAGGCTCTTCGCTGAAAAAAAAGTTTTTTTTTTTATCTTCGCTCCTCAATTCTTATTAAAGCCTTATGTTTAGCGACTGCCAGTAATTTATTAATAAGGCTTCAAAAGGTATTGGATCTAAATGCATCAGTAATACGCTTTAATATAAAAAGAGAAAACGGAACACCAGATAGGTGAACAAAATCTTGTTTTCTCTCAATTCTCAAAGTTTAAAAAAAATTCAATGCAAACAAGAAAGAGCGGGCAAAGAAAAAGCAATTTTAGGAGAATCCATTAGAGCTTAGTCAGTCTAAACAAAAAAGTTTTTCTAATAGGCAAGCGTATTCAAGAATGAACGCTCTTGTAAAGGCATGCCGTGGCTGATAGAGAAGAGAAGGACAACTCAAGTAATTCGCCTTACCCTTTTTTGAAAGATTAGGCTTTTTCTTGTGCGCTGTTAAAAAATTGAATGGGAATAGGGTGGGTCTTTCGATACAATCAACCCTATGAAGGGAGGGTTGCACAACAGAAATACAACTGCAGGGAGTTAGACGTTGTGCAACCCCGTTTAAAAAAGCGTTGAGAGAGCTTTTGCAAATTAGAAATGAATTCTTTGTATTGCGAGGAGTGCTTCAAGAAGAAGCTTTCCTTCTTGTCTTCAATACCTTAAAGGTACCCGGTTTAGAATACGAATAAGATTAGGAAAGCCATCATTAGAGCGAAAAGAGCAATAGCTTCGGTTAATGCGAATCCTAAGATTGCATACCCAAACAACTGCTTCGCCAATGAAGGATTTCTAGCAACTGAAGTGATTAGAGAACTAAACACATTTCCAATGCCAACTGCTGCTCCGGCTAATGCAATAGTTGCACAGCCTGCTCCGATTAATTTTGCTCCTTCTAACATTTGAATTTTTTTATTGATTGTCAATTTTTGAAAACGATGACCTTTGATTGGTTGCTTATATGCGGCGGGGATGCCGGGAATGGGCAATCTTCTATTTGGAGCGAAGAGCCACACTTTTTAAAAGTTTGGAGCGAAGAGCCACACTTTTTAAAAGTTTGGAGCGAAGAGCCACACTTTTTAAAATTAAAAGTTTGGAGCGAAGAGCCACACTTTTTAAAATTAAAAGTTTGGAGCGAAGAGCCACACTTTTTAAAATTAAAAGTTTGGATCTCTTTTTCTTTCAAAGAAATGATTGAAGAAGCCGAACGAGGGGTTGCTTTCAATCCCAAAAAAGGATAGATTGAAAGAAAACCATCCAAACCCAGTTTGAATCTTTTTTATGACTTTTAGTGGGGCGTTAGACCCCCATTTCATTGCACTGCCGAGAGGGAGCGAAGAGCCACTCTCTGGCAGTGGAGCGAAGAGCCTCTCTCCGAAGGAGATTGGAGCGAAGTAGGGCGCAATAGCCCCATCAGTGATTTCATTGCACTCCTTTTTGAGAGTGATTTCATTCAAAAAAATCTCTTTTTTTATTTCATTCGATTGTTTTGAAAGAAAGATCTTATACGATTTTGAATTTTTTATTGGATTCGATCAGATTAGTACGCAAAAGCTTCGTGCCTTTCAGCACTTGCACCATGCGCCTATTAAGGTGAGAGTCTTTCACCGATTCTAAGAACTTGTATAGAGAAAGGTTTCCCGCTTATATGCTTTCAGCAGTTCTCCCGTGCAAACGTGGCTTCCTGGCGATGCCGCTGGTGCGACAGTCAGTACACTAGAGGTTTACCTGCCCCGGTCCTCTCGTACTAAGGGCAGCGCCTCTCAATTCTTTTTTCATCAACAGCGCACAATGAGCCACCTTTTGAAGGGAAGGCTCTGCAGCTATGATGTTCCTCCAACGGTAGATAGGAACCAAACTGTCTCACGACGTTCTAAACCCAACTCACGTACCACTTTCATCGGCGAACAACCGAACCCTTGGGAGCTTCTTCACCCCCAGGATGTGATGAGTCGACATCGAGGTGCCAAACGACCCCGTCGATATGGGCTCTTGGGGGTCATTAGCCTGTTATCCCCGGCGTACCTTTGATTCGTTGAGCGAGGGCCCTTCCACACGGGGCCCCCGGATCACTATGGCCGACTTTCGTCTCTGTTCGACTTGTAGGTCTTACAGTCAGGCAAGCTTGTACCATTACGCTCTACAGCTGCGCGCAAGCACAGCTTGAGCTTACCTTCACACTTCTCCGTTACTCTTTAGGAGAACCCCTCCCCAGGGAAACTACCAACTATGCAAGGTCCTACATTCTTATAGTTAGACCCCCCCAGAATAAAGGATGGTATTTCACGATCCCAATTGTATGGTCCCACCTATTCTACACATCATACCGGGGTGGCCAGTGCAAAGCTATAGTAAAGGTGCACGGGGTCTTACCGTCTAGCCGCTGGTACTCCGCATCTTCACGGAGAATTCAAATTCACTGGGCTCACCTTGGAGACAGCGGGGCAGTCGTGACACCATTCATGCAGGACGTTAATTATACGTCAAGGAATTTCGCTACCTTAGGACAGTTAGAGTTACTGCCGCCGTTTACTGGGGCTTTCATTCGAAGCATACTTACCTCTCCTATTCACCTTACAGCACCGGGCAGGTGTCAGACTCTATACATGGTATTGGTACTTTGCAGAGTCCTGTGTTTTTAATAAACAGCCGCCACCCCCTATTCTGTGCCACTCTCTCTTGAGAGCCCTCCTTCTCCCGAAGTTACGGAGTGATTTTGCCGAGTTCCTTCAAGGTGATTGTCCCAACGCCTTAGTATTCTCTACTTGTTCACCTGTGTCGGTTTGGGGTAAGGTATAGTTGTGGCTGGAGTTGTTTCTAGGAAAAGGATTGTCTCGAATCAAATCACTCCTGCAAGGCGCGATTGCCGCGTGTTCTGTATCAGAAAGATGATTGAGCGCAGAGCCCCACTCCCCAGAGAGGAGTGGAGCGAAGCAGGGGGCAATAGCCCCATCAGCGATCTCTTCGTCGCTCCCAGCCTACCCATCGATCAATGCTCTTCAGCATGAAACTTAGGGGCCTTATTGACTCATTGCAGATTGACTGAACAATGAAACCCTTGAACTTTCGGCGATAATGCTTTGCACATTATTAATCGTTACTTATGTCAGCATTCTCACTTCTAATGCCTCCAGCATCTCTTACGAGTTGCCTTCACAGGGCTTATAGAACGTTTTGCTACCAATTGAATGGGGTCGCAGATCGGTACAATTCTTCAAAATCGTATCAGCTCCCTCGATTCAATTTCGTTGCTTCGGTGAATCACTTGAGCCCCGGTTCATTTTAGGCGCCGCTAAGCTAGACCAGTGAGCTGTTACGCTGTCATAATAGGATGGCTGCTTCCAAGCCCACCTCCCGGTTGTAATCGCCTAGCGACCACCTTTTCCACTAAGTGATTGCTTTGGGACCTTAGCATACGATCTGGGCTGTTTCCCTTTTGACCTTGGACCTTATCACCCAAAGTCTGTCTGCTTTCAGCGTATGGCCTCTATTCTCTCTTGAATTGAAATGAATATCCCTTTAGGGGATTGGAACTCATAGCAATAAGAAGTTACCAAGCTTCTTTTAGGAGAATAGGGCACTCTATTGTTTGTAGGTATTCGGAGTTTCCTTGGGATCGGTCAAGCTTTGGGCCACCCTAGCCCATCGAGTGCTCTACCCCCTACAAACACGATTGCTGAAGAACGCTCTACCTAAATAGATTTCGCAAAAAACCAGCTATCTTCGATTTTGATAGGCCTTTCACCCCTAGCCACAGGTCATTTCATACTTTTGCCACAGTAACGAATTCGGTCTTCCACGTGCTGTCGGGCGCCGCTTCAACCTGCCCATGGCTAGCTCAATCGATTTCGGGTCCAATCCTTACAACTGGTATGGTTTCTCATTGCGCCTACACTTTAGAGCTTAAGCTTGCTGTAAAGATTGACTCGCTGACCCATTATACAAAAGGTACGCTGTAAGCAATTGAGAATGGATTCAAGCCAATCCTGGCTCTCACTCATGCACTGCCCAATATGGCAATTGCCTTCAACTGATTGTCTGCATTGGATTTCAGATCTTTTCACCCTCTTTCCAGAGTTTTTTTCACCTTTCCCTCGCGGTACTATTGCACTATAGGTCAGAAGGATTACTTTGCTTGGAGGGTGGTCCCCCCTCAAATAAAATGAGCTCCAATCCCCTATGGGGATGGGCTCTTTGCTCATTCAAGATTGGTAAATCTTCAGAATATTCAACCCTTACAGGGCTATGACCTTCTATGGCAAGGCTTCTCAGCCTCTTAAGGGGTTGAATAAGAGCTAGCAATGTCCGCGTTCGCTCGCCACTACTTACGGAGTCTCGGTTGATTTCTTTTTCCTTTGGTTACTTAGATGTTTCAGTTGGCCAAGTAGTCTGTCGAACATTCCACCTTTTGGTTTCTGATCGACGCATGCGGTTTCCCGATGGGAGATCCGTAGGTTTTAGGGCATCACCTGTTCTACGGCTTTTCGAGATTTAGTTCGTCCCTTCTTTTCCTTTCTGCCGAGGCATCCATCCAATGCATTTGATTTGAGGTGCACAGCTGACGCAATACACTCCGATTTTTCTTTTTGTCCTCCCACTGTGTTCAAAAAAAAAGTTTGAATAAAAATGGGTCGTTTATGGGATTTTGATCCAGTTCAGCTGAAAATGCGAGAATAGATAGAAAGAATAGCGGAAAAGGGATTTGAACCCCTGCATGCGGATTATGATTCCGCTGTTCTAACCAACTAAACTATTCCGCCAACGAACTGAGCCGAATCTTTGTGCTGAGCATATGCTTGCTCTACTCTTCAAAACAAAGGGGGACCTCGTCTCCCGAAAGATAAAAATCAGTACATAAGGCATAGAATCGTTTCACAATTCGAGTTCGGTATGGGATCGGGTGTTTGCCTATTCTATTGTATCGCCCCTTTGTTTTGAAGAGTGTACTCTTACGTCGCAACGGATCTTTCTTTTTTTGAACCATAAACATCTTAGGGTCATTCCGGCCGCAGGTTCCCCTACGGCCACCTTGTTATGACTTCATCTCAGTTACTGACCGTGCCGTGTAAGATCTAGCCGCCTTTGCGTGCAAGCCTTGCTCAGCAAGAGCATTGCAAGCCTTATCAATCAATGACGTTTGAACCTTATTCAGACACAACCAATTCCCAGGATGTGACAGGCGGTGTGTGCAAGGCCCGGTTACATATTCACCGCGGCGTGCTGATCCGCGATTACTAGCGATTCCAACTTCATGCTCGCGAGTTGCAGCGAGCAATCCGGACTGGGACAAGATTTAAGGATTCGCTCCGCCTTGCGGCATTGCTTCCCTCTGTGCTTGCCATTGTAACACGTGTGTAGCCCAGCCCATAAAGGCCATGAGGACTTGACGTCCATTTGTTGTTATTCTAAGAGCTCTTTATCTCTTATTTCTTTAGGTTACCCCAAAGGTCAGACTATTTCATCAACTCTTACGTTGTCGGTGGAACGGAGTCACCTCCTGCCGGAAGTGGTTTAGTAAGCTTATACAACATTTCTGGAATAACGAATGGTCTAATAAGATCACAAAATCTTTGTGCACTACTAGTACGGATATAAAGCTTTACGTTCTTTTCAGCCCTATTATGAAAACTCGTTGCAAGATCAAATCGATTGTTCAATACTTGTGCTAAAGTAGCGCGGTCATTCTCTGAAAAAGAAGATCAAAAACCATTCCAGCCCCATATTGACTATTACGACCGCCATCATCCATATACCAAAACGCCAGTGCCTCTTCATTGAGCCATTGTTCAATGCCTAGAGGAATGAGTGGGGCGACCGCCCCCCATTGAATCCAAAAAAATGTGTTTTTTGATTTTATTCATTTTTCTTTTTCGGGATAAAACGATTTTCGCTCAATTTGAAACACACGCTGTGATCGTACACAAAAAGTTGTATATGCCTTCTTTGTTTTCCTATGAATTTGTGTCCTATCAATTCCTTTGTAATTTGCAGGCAAAACTTTTTTTTTATTTCATTCCTTCATATGCTGCAGCTTGAAAAATTTATGAAAGAAGTATGCTTTTTGCTTGGTTGAATGTTCAATAAAGAGGCGACCAAAGGGGTCTATATGACCATCTCCTAATAATGTACCTAAGATCCAGGGTGGTGTTTTGTATATCATGCGTTATGAATGAAAAGAAAGCGAGTATACTGTATGTATGGCGGGGCGTATTAGGAACAAGAAGGGTGAAAAAAAGATCTCATTTAGCTTTCCGTTTCTGCTATGTTGTTTTTTGTAAGAGTTGCCGGGCGCTCGTGGAGAGTTTATTGGTAGGATATCCTCACTCTCTAGTCGTTGAACGTTCAAACCTACTCCTATAAGCCTACGGTTCACAAATGAACCATAAGGCCTTTTCCGTTCGGTATGCTTCGCTGCAGATTGACCTTCTCAGCAACTATAAGAAAGCTGTAGAAGGTTGTCTTTGCAATTCACCCAGTTTTGTTCTTGCATGTTACCATGCACGGGGACAATGTCAAGTAAGGGCGCGTGGCCTTGCTCAAAAAAAGAGTTGATTGCTCTGGCTAAAACTCTTTTTTTGAGCTTTTCGCTTTCCTCCCTAGTGGGAGTTGCTTTTCGCGCCTTTTGTTTTATCCCCACTTTCATCCGGCATATCGCCGGCAGTCTCCCTAGAGTTCTGTGAACAGCTTGATGAACAAGCCGCACTTTGCAACTAGGGACGAGGGTTTCGCTCGTTATAGGACTTAACCCGACATCTCACGACACGAGCTGACGACAGCCATGCAGCACCTGTAAAGCATTGTATAGTGCCTCCCCTCTCAGAGGGCGCTGTGCTCTATGTCAAGGGCTGGTAAGGTTTTGCGCGTTGTTTCGAATTAAACCACATGTTCCACCGCTTGTGCAGGCCCCCGCCAATTCCTTTGAGTTTCAATGTTGCCATCGTACTCCCCAGGCGGAGTGCTTATCGCGTTTGCTAAGCCCCTGATCGAAAGACCAAAGGCGAGCACTCATCGTTTACGGCGTGGACTACTGGGGTATCTAATCCCGTTTGCTCCCCACGCTTTCGTACCTTAGCGTCAGTCTGGATCTAAAGAGTTGCCTTCGCCGCCGGCCTTCCTTCTAATATCTATGAATTTAATCTCTCCACTAGAAATTCCACTCTTCCCTATCCAACTCAAAGACAGAACAGCTGCAAGACCGTCCATAGGTTAAGCCTATGGCTTAGGTCTGAGCTCAATCTGACCGCCTACGTACCCTTTACGCCCAATTATTCTGAATAACACTAGCCCCCCCCGTATTACCGCGTCTGCTGGCACGGAGTTAGACGGGGCTTCTTTTTCGAGTCTTGTCATTGTCTCTTCTCGACGAAAGGGCTTTACGACCTAATTAGCCTTCGTCTCACCCACTCGGTATTGCTGGATCAGGCTTTCGCCCATTGTCCAAGATTCCTCACTGCTGCCTCCCGTGGGAGTCTAGGCCGTATCTCAGTCCCAGTGTGGCCGATCACCCGAAAAGGCCGGCTACGGATCGTTGGCTTGGTAAGCCATTTCCTTACCAACTACCTAATCCGACGCAAGCTCATCAAGCAGCGCTGTTCGAAGTAAACTTCCTCTTGGAACAAAGTCACTCCCAAAAGGGAGTGGAACAAGATTCAAGCATGCTTCGAATGAAGCTTTTTTCTTCTCGATTCAAGAAGGCTAGGGGGGATTGACCCCGTCTGCTTGGTAGATTCTCACGCGTTCCTCACCCGTTCGCCACCCCGTGCCTCTTTGCGCCGAATGCAATTGCATAAAGCAAAAGAGCACAGCGTCCGACTTGCATGTGTTAGGCATACCGCCAGCGTTCATTCTGAGCCAGGATCAAACTCATTTTTTTGGATACAATTCGCTCTTTCTTTTCTATTCAAAAACAAAGTTTTTGAATGGTCTAAAAGAATTGAAAAAAAATTCAACAAATCTCACTCCCCGTTAGGGGGAGGATTTTTGCCCCTATACTTTCGAAAAGTGCGGTTCCTTCCTTTCCTTTCGGGAGAGAGTGGCTACGTGAATGCAGCTGTTGCTCCTAACTGCGTAACGCCGTTATTCTAAAAAAATGAAAAAAGAAAAAAAAATTTTGTTTTGAATAATAAAAAGACTTTTTATTTTATTCAAACAGATGGAACAATTAGCATCTTCTATTTATTGGAATTCGATGAAATTTCAATTGATAGTTATAAAAAGTTGATCTTTATTATTTTGTAAACAAAAAAAAGAATGCTTTTGGATTGAATATTATACAATTCAATACATTGACAGTTGTATGCAGAATTTGTTTAAGAATAGAGAAAATTGGCTTTTTATTTCAAAAAGAAAGGCAATAATTTTGCTCTCGTTTTATTCGAAATTCTTTGCTCTCAATACGCTCGCATTCGATTGTGCGGGGGTAGGACTCGAACCCACACACTCCGGGTCATGAGCCCGGCAAGCTAACCAATTACTCCACCCCGCGATTGACTGAGTGAGAGCTAGCTCGATTTGAAATCAAACGGCATGGCTTTTCTTTATGAATCAATCATTTTTAAAGAGAAAAAAGCATATTCAATTTGAAAGGAAGCAATCTTTCTTTTTTTCATCGCAATAAGATGCAAGTGCGCTGCTTCGTTCACTTCTCAAACTTCTCTTATTCTCCTGATTTCATTCCAATCTTCTTTAAGAGGGGGAGCGAAGAGCCTCTCCCCGAAGGGAATTGGAGCGGAGCAGAGAACGCTAGCCCCATAAGTCATTTTACTCGTTCTTTGAATAAAAAGAATGCTTTTTAATCAAAGGTTTTTTGAATAAATATATCCAATAAAAAATCAATTGATTTTTTTTCGGTGGAAAACAATACTCCAAATCACTTCTTCTCAACCGAGAGTCAAATGAGATGGAGGGCACTTGCTTTACTCTTTTACAAAAATCTTTGTTTTTCAAATCCTTTTTATTCAAAAAAAGAATCAATAAACGATTGTTTTTTTTCTCAAGCAAGATAGAATTGATTTCACAACACGTGTAGATTCTAGAATCTTTGAATGAATTGGAATTGTTTTAAACTCAAAAGCGAAATCTAGGCTTGTACGAATGAGAAAGAGTGCTTTTCCTTCAAAATATTGTTCGTCTACCATACCTTATTAACGTTTCAATAAGACTTTTTTTCTCAGCCCAGCAGGGTTAACAACTCGATCAGTGACATTGTTCTACTCCTCTTTTGGGGCAGTGACGTTGTTCCTGCAATCTTTTTGAATTAGATCCATTCACTTTTTCTTTCGAATAAGAATATATCACAGAGTCACTCTCGCAAAAAAGTACAGTCTTTTGTACTCTATTCAAGACATGTGTTTATGGCTCATTACAGAAAGAAATACAAAAATTCAGAAAATCGATGTTTTTTCAATAAAAAAAGAATTCAAAAGATGAATTATAAAGGAAATAGCCCGACAATTTTAAGAGCTCAAAGACTCAAAGAACGAAGAAGGGAGCAGCAGACTCCTCACCAAAGCTCCCATGAAATCTTTTTATTAAGGATATGGGAAAAAAAGAAGCGTAAACAAAAGCGAACTATAGAAAAAAAAAAGTCCAGAACAGATCTCGTCAGTTTGACAGAAGCGAAGATTTTTTTAAAAAGATTAAAGAAAAGATTTCAAAATTGATGCAAGGCATTTGGAGTCGCCGTATAAGAACACGTTCAACGAAAGATATACTGCTGGACGAAGTCATTCCAGAGAGTGAATACCAGATTTGTCATAAGGTCAAAAACCTTCAGATGCGCATTGGGGAGATATGGCAAGGAGTTATAGGTTGTGCAGAAGGATGGCAAAATCGAAAACAAGGCGATCCGTCTGGCCTAGATTTGATCAATCACGAGCGAAAGATTGTTATAGAGCTAAAAAACTCATTGAACACCGATAATTCATCGGCTAGAAAACATAATTATCAAAAATGAAAGGCCTTTGCAATTCAACATACAGACTATACAGTGATCTATGGTGTGATAAATGCCCAGAACGGGAAAGCAGAAGATAAAATAGTAGAAGCATAAGATATATGTCGGGCACGCTTCTTTTACGATTGATTTTTGCACCCGATTCCAATTATAAACGCATTATTCAAGTGATAAAAGAGAATCTCAAGACACACATGCATTAGCATTGAGTAGTCTCTTAATGGATAATGCAACATAATAGGCCAGGCTAACAGGCACACTGTTTCCTATCTGCCGATACTGGCTTGCTAGAGATCCAGAAAAGAAGGAATCATCGGGATAAGTCTGAATTCGTGCATATTCTCTAACATTCAGAGGTCTAGTCTCAAGAGGATGACACCTCTCTGTTCGTTTTTGACACGGGCTTGTCGTCAGTGTGAGACAAGGCTCATCCATACTCAATCTACGGGCGACCCCGCGCTGCCCCCCACCTGCGCCGTAAGAACGACCTAGGTAAGACTTCTGAATCTCTTGTGGTAGGTGTATCCAACAGCCACCTTCTGGGATTTGATCCATAATCTCACGCTTCCATTGTGGGTATTCATAGCCTGGGCTTGGTGGACAGCCCAGTAAAACATCTCTTAAGGGAGTGGTTCTATTCAGTGGGAACGGGAATTCATAGAGCTCGGGAATATCATTGCGAACCCCGACGAAAAAAATTCTTTCGCGCTTCTGAGGAACTCCATAATGAAGTCAACAACTTGTGGTAAACATTGTATTTGTCGTTGACTCTTAGGAGTTCAATAAGCATTTGAAATATTTGCCCCTTCTGAATCGAGAGCAATCCTTTCACATTTTCTAGTAAAAAAACACGAGGCTTTACCTCCTTCACGAGCCGAATAAACTCATATACGAGATTCCCTGGAGAACTCTCCAGCCCTCCTCTCTTTCCAGCAGTTGAAAAACTCTGGCAAGGTAGACCTGCCACGAGTACATCGGTACGGTTTTTATATTGAGATAAATCGATCTTTGACATATCCTCGCATATCACTTGAATATTAGGACAATTCTTTTGGAGGGTGTTACAACATGTCTTGTCTTTGTCGTTCAGCAACAAAGGGACAAATCCAGCATTTATAAAACCACTACTCATACCCCCAGATCCTGCACACAATTCGATAGTGTTGTAATTCATGGATTTGATAACAAATATGTTGAAAAAAAAATGAATAAAACTAAAATCCGATGCTTATTCAACTCTCTTTTACTTAGTGAGAATTTTGGTTGGATCACGGCTTTCCAGCAATCTCTTATACAAAATTGACTGCATTAAAAAGCGTAGAGCAACTTTATGCAGCGAGCGGATCAAAGAGAAAAAACACTTTTTTTATTATAAATCCATTTTTCTTTTTACAGAATGATTTTCTTTTTTTTATTAATAGCCTATCTGTCTATTCATTCTTTTTTTTCACTCAAATCAACAATCACTATTGTCTGTGCTTGTAGCTCAATTGGATAGAGCACCAAACTTCGGATTTGGGGGCTGAGAGTTCGAATCTTTCCAAGCATATTGTAGCGAAAGAAAACTTACCACAACCTTTAGAATCAAAGGATTAAAAAAGACTTGTTCGTTTTGAGTCAATCAAACATTTGGTTTCAAAATCATTAAAAGAATTATGCTGTGCTCTTATCTTTTTTGTTTGAACAAATATGCCTGCTCTCTGTTTATTTCTAACGTGCACATAGGGAAGTGCATTGTTTTTTTAAGCTATAGCCCTGGGAATGCACCTGAGTAGAAAAAGGATTACCGATTCAAAAGAAAAAACCAATTCCATGTATAAATACAGAAAAAAAGAGCAAAGTTTTGAATTGTTTTTTTCTATTCCCCGCAATATTGCACAAAATATTAAAACTGTAATTATATCTCAATAGAGACTGATTCGACGAAAAAAAATTCAGAGTCAATTCAATAAAAAAGTGTTTCTTTTATCGATTTTCAAATCAAAACCAACCCTTTAGTGGGTAAAAACCAATTGATTCTGTACAAAATGTTATTTGTACGAAGCACTGAATAAAAGTTTTACAAAGACATAGTTTCTATAGTTTTTGGAGCAAGAGAATAGAATTTATAACAATAGACTTTTTAATAATATTTGCTCGCTTGGTGAAATTGGTAAACACGACAGACTTAAAATCTGTTCCTTCTAGGTTATCGGTTCAAGTCCGATAGTGAGCAAACTCGCTTGGTGAAATTGGTAAACACGGCAGATTCAAAATCTGCTCCTTCTGGGTTATCGGTTCAAGTCCGGTAGCGAGTACCAAAAAGAACAAAGTCACTCGCCTTTAAGGCGAGTGGAAGAAAGTGGGGCACGCCATTGCCACGAATGAAATAAAAAAAGAGATTTTTTTGAATTCAATCACTCCCCCCGGGAGTGGAATGAAATCACTCCCCCCGGGAGTGGAATGAAATCACTCCCCCCGGGAGTGGAATGAAATCAAAAAAGAGATTTTTTTGAATTCAATCACTCCCCCGTCAGGGGTGCAATGAAATAGGGGGGCGCTAACCTAACCTCACTAACGATGTTACTCCACTCCCGTACAGGGATCTTCGCCCCCGGTAGGGAGTAGAACAAAGGAAAAAAAGAGATTTGTTGAAACAAAGTCACTTACCGGAGAAAAGAAGAGCAAAGAACAATGTTAGAGGCAATACGATGTGTAGAGCTGGAAGCGCTAACCTCTTAATTCAATAAAAAAGAATAAACCTCAGTAGAGGGGACGCAATTGACCCAAGAGAAAAAAGAATTATGTGTGTGAACAGAGGGAGAAAAAACAAAGAAATGAGGTGCTCCCCCTCACTGGGGTGCCTTTTTTTTTCCTTTTCCCGCTTTATAACTCACGTTGATGTTTTGAATTATAGCAACTGATTGCAAAATGAAAGGCTTTCACCCCCCCTTTTTCGTTCGGCCTCAACCCCACTCCCCATAGCGGATTGAGCGCAGATCAAAAAGAGATTTTTTTGATCTGCGCTTTTTGGGGTAGCGCTTAGGGCTTCGCACCTCTTTAAAAAAAAGAACTGATTTGATTCTTCAGTCTTTAGTGGAGTGAGTTTAAAAGATTGCAGTTTTCCACTACGCACATTCGTAAATTTTTAAGAAAAATCAATCTTTCTAAAATCATCTACATAAGGTAACCTCACAAATCTTGGCTTTGTGCACAGCACAGCACTCATTGTTTTGAAATTGACTTCTAGGTGTGGAGCTTTCTGTTTACGATTGATACAAAATCGAACCAATTTTTGCCTACGCCAATACCTTTTCAATCTTAATTGAAAGACGGATTTCTGAAGTGCAATAGCCGCTTCTGGTTGAACGGATATAATATCACCTGGTCTTATAGAAAAATTGCGAATATTTACAACTTGATCATTGACCAAAACTTTTTTATGACTTATCAATTGCTTGATTACAGATAAGTTTGGGGAGATTTTCATTCGGTATAAAAGAACATCAAGCCGTGTTTCTAATGAATGAAAAAAAGTTCCTAATCTAGGAGCCCCTGGAATGCGCCGATGAATTGATTTCCAATTGATATGTCCATAGAATTGTGATATGTACTGCCTTGCTCTAAGCTTTAAGAAATACTCGGAGACTCGTCGTCTAGAACTAACACGTTGTATCTTTTTATGGAGTCTTTTTTGCCTATTTGTACGCTTTTTGACTAGCCAGACATTCCTAATCAGTCGGCGGCTTCTCTTGATTTGAATCCTATACATAATTTTTCAATATTTCAGACCAATTGAGTAAGGTTTTATAATATGGGTTATACTCTTTTATTCGAAGATTGAAGCTGCTTTGATATACGCGAAAAGATTTGTCAATCTTTGCGAGAGTAAAAGAAGCAAAAATGAGCTTTAAGCGTTTGCTCTCGGCTTTACCCTATGAATTCTTTTGGGTGGGGCGATTCCTTTCAACTACGCTCTCCTTTTTTCAAAAGTTGGCTTTACTAAGAAAACGTAACGTTTCTCGTTTTTTGCTACGCTGAAAAAAATAAGCTTTTTAGGCGAGCGCCCACGAATGAAATCACTCCCCCCGGGAGTGGAATGAAATAAAAAAAGAGATTTTTTTGAATGAAATCACTCCCCCCGGGAGTGGAATGAAATCAAAAAAGAGATTTTTTTGAATGAAATACCCCCCCGGGAGTGGAACAAAGTGTGGCTCTTTGCTCCAATCCCCTTCGGGAAGTGGCTCTTTTCTTTGCTCCATGTAGGAGATTGGGGTGGCTCTACGCTCTACTTCCCCAATGGCACTCTCGGTAGGAAGTAGGGGTGACTATGCCTATCCTATATGCCCTATCTTATTCTACTCCTCCCCCTTTAAAGCATTCGAATAGTGCTCTCTTTACGAATTGTGCCTCATTTAAGAAGGCAACTGTTGTTTCAATCTTGTAGTTTAGCGGTCTACCTCCCCAAATACAATATCTTGAGTACCTATAATCGTTACAACATCTGCAAGCATATGATGTTTTGACATAAAATCAAGCCCTTGTAAATGAGCAAAGCCTGGTGCTCTTATCTTACAACGATATGGGCGGTTCGTGCCATTACTTACTAAGTAGACCCCAAACTCTCCTTTTGGTGCTTCCACTGCAGTATAAGTCTCACCTTCTGGAACATGCGCACCCTCTGTATACAATTTAAAATGGTGAATGACTGATTCCATAGACTGCTTCATTTGAGCGCGTGAGGGTGGGCTAATCTTACGATCATCTGTCTTGATCAAGCCAGTTGGCATCATGTTCAAGCATTGTACAATAATACGCAAGCTTTGTCGCATCTCTTCAACACGTATGCAGTAACGGTCATAACAATCTCCCCGCGTACCAACGGGCACATCAAAATCCAATTGATCATATACGTCATACGGTGAGGCTTTCCTTAGATCCCAAGAAACACCTGAGCCCCTCAACATGACTCCACTAAAACCCCAGTCGAGAGCTTGCCGGGCTGTAACAGTGCCGATATCAACCAAGCGCTGCTTCCATATTCTGTTGTTTGTAAGCATCTCTTCTATCTCATCAATACGAGAAGCAAATTGCTCACAAAATCGAAAGATGTCTTCACTGCATCCAAGAGGAAGATCCTGCGCAACACCTCCAGGCCGGATATAGCTTGCGTGCATTCGAGCGCCAGATACCCTCTCATAAAATTCAAGCAGCTTTTCTCGCTCTTCAAAAGCCCATAAAAAGGGTGTTAGCGCGCCCACATCCATAGCATGCGTGGTCAGGGCCAGCAAATGGTTCAGAATTCGAGTAATCTCACAAAAAAGAACACGAATGTACTGAGCTCGTAAAGGCACTTCGCAGTTTAAAAGCTTCTCAACTGCTAAAGAATAGGCATGTTCTTGTGCCATCATAGAAACATAATCGAGGCGATCAAAGTAAGGCAAAGCTTGTAAGTAAGTCTTATACTCAATCAATTTTTCTGTACCCCGATGAAGCAAGCCTATATGGGGCTCAGCACGTACAACAACCTCCCCGTTCATCTCTAGTACAAGCCTTAGCACTCCGTGAGCTGCGGGGTGTTGTGGGCCAAAATTAAAAGTAAAGTTCTTTATTTGCTTTGTTTTTGCCATGGTGATTCGAATTAGAAGACCGTTTGTCTATGTTCTGGGAAATAAAAAAAAAGAAGCAAAAGGCATGGAATATATGAATGAGTTGCTTCTAAAATTGTTGAACCGTATGCTGTGAAAGTCTTACGTGTTTTCTTTTCACTACGATTCAAAAAACTTGAATTAGGTTAGAGCCGTGGGCACTCGACAAAACAGGGGAAAAGAATGACCTTTGATTGGTTGTTTGTTGTTTCTTTTAGAATGAACGTATGCAATCGAAAATCGATTGATTTTTTGAAGCTGGTTTCGTCTCCTAATCACCCCCGCCTAAAAGAGAATAGAATGAAATGAGGGGCGCTAACCCCACTAACAAACCTCTTTAAGGGGAGTGCAATGCAATGGGGGGGCGCTAGCCCCACTAATGAAATCACTGATGGTGCTATTGCCCCCTGCTTCGCTGAAAAAAAAAGTTTTTTTTTTATCTTCGCTCCACTCCTTCCCGGGAGCGAAGAGCCTCTCTCCGAAGGAGATTGGAGCGAAGCAGGGGGCAATAGCACCATTCGCGGCTTTTCGCTCCCGGGAAGGAGTGGAATCGCATAGCTACAGGCGATCGCCTAAGTTTGAAGCAAAAAACCACTTTCTTTAGAAAATTAGGTCTTATTGACTCTCAAACTACTTCGGTTGAGAGCCATTCAATAATTTGTAAAAGAGCAGAATGCGCCGTGTCTGAAAATAAAAGAAATGATTCGCTCTCCAAATTCACCTCCCATACTGTGAATCTCAGCAAAATTGACTCAAAAGAAAACAAGAAATTGGTAAGAGAAAGGGGGAAGCAGAGGCACACATTCTTTTTACACTCCTTTTCTATCAAACGCGACGCTTTTTTGGAGCTCTGCAGCCATTGTGCGGTTTAGGAGTTGTATCTACAATTCGCTTGATTTGAAGACCTCCTATTCGTAATCCC